GTTTTTGAATTTATTTTCTCGATTTTGCTTATGTTTTTTGGTTGGGGTTCTTTTGATCTTTTGGGGTTCTCTAAAACCCTTGTTCGTAATTAGGAAAAAAGATTTAATTTGATCCCCCAATGTTGATCTTGATTGTTATTATTGTTAGCTTAAGGATTTTGTGAGTGGGTGCAACGGTAATGACAAAAATAAAACTTCATTGTCATTGAGTTTGAGTGAATGTTAGGTTTGGTATGCAAGTAAGAAAATATTATCCCAAGAGCATTTATATGTTATCTAGCAAAACGTTATGGAGGCGGGTTGGGATGGGGGAGTGGGGGTTCAGGGATGGAGGGATTGGGATGATCAAGTGGGGTGAGGGTTGGGTGGGGAAGGAGATGATAAACTTGGAATTTCACTTATACAAAACATTTTGATCGACCAAACATTTCCTCCATACCAAACACACCCTAGATCTTCCCTTAAAAAGGTGTATATTTCTTTTGTTTTTTCATGTTCTTGTTTTCTAGGTTGCACAACAAGGAAATGAAGAAGGGTGACAATCAGATTTTGTTACTTTAAAGCGAATTCACATAAATGTTCACTTTGATTTGTGTGTTGTCAAAGTTTGGTAGTTGTCTTGTTTTCAGATAGTGCTGAACAAGGCAATCAAAGAAGGTCGCCAGTCAAATCTAGTTGCTTTGAAGTATTCTTTAATTAGTGTTTTCCAATTTGGGTTTTTCATTTTGTTGTTTTGGAATAGTGCAGACTAAGGCAATGAAAGAAAGTGGCCAGTCAAGTTTAGTTTCTTTAAACAAATCTGGATCACAAATTAGAAAGCCCCCTCATCGCAAAACTTCACCTCTGAATTGGTTCCCTCGCAAAAAAGTGGATTCCTATTTGAAGAGGAAAATAAAAATGCTCCAGGTATATTTATATTCTTGAGCATTCTCTTTTTTATCGTCAATATATAGTAGAAGAAGTACTGACAGAGTTATTGACCTGTTGTGAAATCTCAGGAAGTGGATGGTATGAACTCAACTCTTGATGAGACTTTGGGGGACGCTAATCCCCACTATTGTCGAGTTTTGAGAGAAAAGATTGCAGTGAAAGAAGCTGCTCAAAGAGCTCTGGAAGCTCGGAAGGCTGCTCTTGTTGAAGCATCATGGTGCCGAATACTTCAAGCCTCAAGGTGAGTAATTTAACATTCATTTATCTGTATTTGTTGTTACATGCATTAGATCCGGTGTTTGTCTGGAATTGTTTTTTCTGCTTAGAAACTCATACAGGAATTATTTGCCAATTATGTGATATTGGATACATTAAATTTTAGAGATAGTTACAGTTGAATGCCTTTTGTGATCTAATTTACAAAATAGCTAAGAAATGTATAGGTTTGTTATATTTAGTATAAATATACATAATATACTCACAGCTGAGAACATGATTTTATATATAGGAAGTTATGGTGGTAGAGGATTTAGGGTAGAAGGTTAGTAGATAGTCGAGTGTTGTTGTGTTGTAGTATGATTTAGGTTTCGTGAGTTTCTCTAATGTGTATTAATATATGTTGCTTCACTTGTTTTGTACATTGTTATCTTGTTGTCTCTTTTTCTTACTTTCTTGTGTCAATTACATTTGTTTTGATAGGAGAGTCTTATCGGAAACAACCTGAAGGTAGAAAGGGAAAGGTCGGCGCATGTTGTTGTATACATGTAATATATACGTAATCAGTGTTACATATATTGCACTAGCGCCCGTAATTAATTTTGGCCAACAGGCAAAAAATGGAAAAAATACCCAATAGTATTAGCTTGTTTATGACAGAGACATTGTTGATTGATTGAATAGAGATTTGGTCATATGTTAGTCTAGAACTTACCTTTCCTGTATCTGCCATACAGGATTGATTGTAAAGAAGCAGAACAATTGCTGATAAAGTCAGAAAAATATTCTGCAGATGCTTTTGAAGCAGCAACAGCTATTGGAGTAATCTTGTATGACATTCCTGATTGCTCACAGAAGCATTACAAAATAGAAAAGTCACCAGCAAAAGGAGAAGGACCCACCACTCATACTGTTAGAACATCTTTTGAAACTGCATTTGAGGTGGATAAACAAGTAGCAAGTGCAGTTAAGGCTGCCCTTCTTAAGCTTGCAAATTGCCCTTCTATGAACAAAGATGAAGTTAAGGAACTGCTGCACAGAATAAGCCAGAACCCTGAAACAGATGATAATCATCAAGAAGTGTCTGAGTTCTCTTCAGAATGTGAATCAGATACGGCATCTGAAGCCACAGAGTTAGAAAAAGAAAAAGTAAGGAAATGTAAAAAGAAGCAGGCATATGAAAAGTTTAATATGCCAAATCTTGTGGAAATGATGCTGGAAAGGCTTAGATGTTTGCAAGAAGATGAACTTTCATCTCTTGCTACTATAGTTGCAACGTGTGGGTTGAACGCTGCTCTAGCTGAAGCGGAAAACAGCAAAATGCATGTTTCAGGGTCAGCTGCTGATGATAGATCAGAAATATCTGTAGGAGACGGAACAGTTAAGGGCGCTGAGGAACTTCCAAGCCTGGATAAGTTTCTAGTTAAGCGGTTAACGAGACTTGAAAGGGAGGTATTAGAAGCCAAAAATGCTAGAAGTGAAGCTGGGGAAAGAAGTGAACAAAGTCAGAATGAATCTTGTCATAAAGTGATTCATTCGGGATACCATACAAATTCAAGCCATGATCTGGCAAGTATTCTTAAGAAACCATCTGTTTCAAAATTTGAGAAGGAAATTGAAGAGGCCAAGAACAACTCCAAAACTTTGGTAAGAACCAAGTGTAAAGCTACAGATAATTCGTCTGAGGTTCCAAGCCTGGACAAGTTTTTGGTGAAGCGATTAACGAGATTTGAAAGGGAGGTTTTAGAAGCCAAAAAAGCCAGGAGTGAAGCGGGGGAAAAATGTGAAAAAACACGAGATAAATCTAGTGATAAAGTGGTTCACGCAGACTACCATACAGATACAGTCAATGATCTGGCAAGTATTCTCAAGAAGCCTTCTTCAAAATCTGAGAAGGAAATTGAAGAGGCCAAGAACAACTCCGAGACGTTAAAAAACAAGTGTAAAGCTTCAAATAGCAATGTGCATTCATTTGAGGTTCCTGACTTAGGGAGTGTGTTGGTTAAGCACTCTTCAAAGCTTGAGAAAGATATTGAAGAGGCTAAGAAGAAGAATGAAAAACTTAGTGAAATAGAGGGCAAGAATTCGAATAGATTGGTGGGTACTGCAGCAATTGGTCGAAGAAAGAAACATGAAATGGATGTTCCTAGTTTAGAAGATTATCTGGTGAAACATATGACCAAACTTGAAAAGGAAATTCAAGAAGCAAAAAATAGGGAAAACACTGCTGACCCTGATGCCAATGTGTCCGAGACTACCTCATTGGTAGGAAAAGAAAATGTTGACCACAATGTAAATTCTTGTAATGGAGAACAACCATCAAACCCAGCAGACACGTTATCATTTGAAGTTGAAAACAAAGAAGCAGTGGATAGTCTGGACAAGATTCTAGTAAAGCCAGTTCATCGTCTGCAAAGACTTAAAATGCAAGAATCATCAACAAGAAGAGACTATCGTGCATCGAGGACTCGAAGAAAGTTTGAAGCTAATAGTGCCACAGATAGCGAAGGCTTGGACAAGATTTTAGTGAAGCATGTTTCAAAGCTTGAAAAAGAGAAAATGTCTTTTCACGCAAAGGAAGACAATTTGCTGAATGTAAAGAAAAGGGACACCATTTGTAAACAGTTGCAGAACAATGAAGGCAGTTTGGATCAGATTTTGGTGAAACACAAGTCGAGACTTGAGAGAGAAAAGATGGCTGATATTCAGCCACATGATGATGATGATCAGATAAGACATTCAATTACTCGGAAAGCTATAAGGGAGAGGGAGCTGCAAGAAGCTTGGGGAGGCTTAAGCCTCGGGAACTCTATGCGTCCTCATATGTCTAGACTTCAGAGAGACAAGGCAAGTGCATTAACTTCAGTCTTAAGCCATTTTATATTGTCGTTCCTTTTTCTACTTCTCATGACTTTACTCTTGTTTTCCCTTGTAGGCTGCCTGGATTAAAGCTGAAGAAGAGGAGAGGAAGGGAACCGTGGAGGAGGCGTGAAATTATGAGAACTAGTATATTAGAAATATCATAAATTCTTTGTATTTCCCCTCCCCATGCTTTTTCTGTTGATCAACATGACAACAACCAACTAAACTTTTGAATACTTCTCCACTACTCGTATAGTGATCTCGTGTGAGATGATCTTTTTTTTTGGTTCTTTTTTGGGGCAAATAGAATTAGAATGCTATTTTTTTTTCTCTTTCGAATATGTAACTGAAGGTTGCAATGTAAAGAAGAGTGCTGCAAATTTGTACATATTGCTTGCATATGTTCCTTTTATGTATATGAGTGAGCTAAGGATTTAAATATATAATATATAAGAGAAAGTATCGGACAGTGTTAAGTAATGTAAGAATAAAATGAGAAAAAATAGTGAAGATAATTTCGGCCATATTATCTTTCAATTATAACATTTTTGTTATTTACTAAAAATGAAATAAATCTAAAATCATGTAGAGAAAATTATCTCAAGCGACTTGTAAACAATTTCTTGAAATAAAAAAAAAAATCCCCACCCTTTTCCCAACCCCCCAGTTTTGTTGTGAATATTAAATGCTTGCATAAATTTGCATGTAATTATTGAGAGTGTAGTGAAATGGTCGAGATGTCATTCAATCAACAATGTTGGATTTGAGTTCACATAAAATACTTAAAAATTAGGAAATATAAATACTTAACCCCTTTAATTTTGTGGTTTGGCATTTGGTAGACAATTATTTCAGTTGAGAGTTGAGACAGGACAGAAGTCCTTGTGGAAAATCTCACAGTGATAGTGTGAACAACAGAACTGAGCACTGGTCTCATTTACTCACTTGAATAGTAATAACTTATACAAGGTTCTCAACAGTTGTACAAACACTCAACAGTATTTTACAGCTTCCAAATTTGACTTGACCTCTCTCTTATATAACACCCCTATTGGTTCTACCACTACTACATGTACTTTCTTCTCTGGCCTAAAACTTCCATTCTTTCTCCATTTCTTCAATGGCTTTTCCTTCCTCATTTCTCTTCTTCTTCCAAATCATTCTTTGTATTCCCTCTGCCTTCTCCACAAATTCTGAAGGTACTTTCTGCTAATCTAAGTTTCCCATGTTTTCTTAGGGTTTAAAGATTTCAGCTTTGTGTTGCTATATGAACCCCTCTTTGTTTTATTTTTTCTTTTTGGTTCATGGGGTTTGAGTTAAAATCTTGGAAATGGAAATACTTGTATAAAAAACAAGAAAAAGGTTCAATCTTGAAATGTTACTCAAGATTCTTTTTTTTTTTAATTTTGTTTTGCAGGGACTGCTTTGCATTCTTTGAGAACCAAACTTTCTGACCCAAAAAATGTTCTACAAAGCTGGGACCCTACACTTGTAAATCCTTGTACATGGTTTCATGTTACCTGTGACTCAGATAATAATGTTATTCGCCTGTAAGATGCTCTATCAGTTTCTTGATTTTTGCCTATCACTTCTTGTTGTTGTTAGTAATTTGACAATTCTTATGATTTCATTTTAAATTTTTTTGAAATTTGCAGGGATTTGGGCAATTCTAATATTTCTGGAACATTAGGACCAGAACTTGGTGAACTCAAGAATCTACAGTATCTGTATTTTTCTTTGTTTATCTCTTTTCTTGTATTTTTGTTTCTTGTCTCAGTTTAGTATCTTTTGTTGGCTGTACTGAAACCGTGGATAAAGTAACGGATAAGTTATAGAAAAAGGGGCGTTTTTTTTTTTAGACAAAGAAATAACTATGTATAGATTAGTGTCACATGATTAATGTTGTTTCTGTGATTAACAGTTCAATCTTTTGTGTGTTTTCTTTGCTTGCAAGTCTATCTATCTGTCTTTAAGATGATGGACAAACTTTATCCTGAATTGCAGGGAACTTTATAGTAATAACTTAGAAGGGGAAATCCCAAAGGAATTTGGTGATCTGGAAAATCTTATTAGCATGGACCTATATGGCAACAAATTTGAAGGCAACATTCCCCAGTCTTTTGCTAAACTAAAGTCTCTTAGATTTTTGTAAGTATATATTCTCATTGAATGATCAATGAATTTGACATTTTTTAATAGATATTTGATGTGATGTTATAAAGATTGAATCTTTTTCATGCTATGACTACAGACGGTTAAACGACAATGAACTAACTGGTTCGATTCCAAGGGAACTTACGACACTCCCCAACCTTAAAGTATTGTAAGTTCTCAAATTCTTATCTGCTGTTATTACCTTAGTATGTACACCTTGATACAGAAAAAGACAATCGAACAATATGGCGGTGATTTCTGCTTGAGTGTATTTGTTTATTGCATTGCTGCAGTGATGTTTCTAACAACAATCTTTGTGGAACAATCCCTGCTGATGGACCCTTTGGAAGCTTTCCTATGGAAGGGTAATCATTTTTTCTTCTTTCTTGAAAATTTGCTTACATTTTTCGCTGATCCTCTAACTATCCCTTGATATGGTGTACTAGTTCATTTCTGCTAATTTTATTGGTGAAGGTTGTTTTGAGCTTCATTCTGTTAGCTGTGTTACTGGGGGAGAAAGAAATCTATTGAATGACCGGTTGCATCATGCTAAAAAATGTGCTTTAAGGTTCATAAAACACATGTTGTGAGCTTAATCCACCAACCTATTGCAAAAATTTAACTTATGGCATGTCATTAGTTAGTAGTTGGTGGCTTTGGGTGATAGCTAAGTGATTAATGCTTGTTTGTTTGCAAGTGCAATTACTATATGCCCTCAAAATTGTTATCTGATGCTGATGTTCATATGATTCTAGTATGAGTCTTGGAAACCATTCATTGGCCTTGTGTAATTGAATTCGAATGACACACACAAGTTACAATCTCTCATTCTTGGATTAGGATATGTCATATTTTCAAGTAAAGCTGTGATATTTGAGCTAGAATGAGTATCACAACATCAAACTTTTATGTTGGGACCTTTACTATATAGTGTGATTCAATAGTAGATTCAGACACTGTTGTGTATTATTATTAGTTCTACTTGTAGTAAAATGAGCAATCAATGCAACTCTTGATGACATTCCTTTTGTTTCAGTTTTGCACACAACAGACTCAATGGACCTGAATTGAAAGGACTAGTGCCCTATGACTTTGGATGCAAAGAAGTTGAAGTATAGTTTGACAACAGCCTTCACAAGGTTGTGGTTGCTATTATATCTTATGTATTGTATATGTAGAGTTTGACAGTGTTACTGAAATTAAAAATCTCAAGTCGAATGCACTTCATGATACATAACGTTCTTTAAATTCATCACTAAAGCTCACCTTCACTGATAACTTGGCAGCAGAAAATTGTTGTCTTGCTGAATTTTGAAATTAAGTGCTTGATTGTTTTTGAAGTGAAATTTCTCTGAAAACAATCTATCTTTATTTCGTATCAAATCGATGTTGCTTCCTAGCAAAGACGATTTTATAAGAGTTGGGACCAAATTGTGGTGATAACACTATACATGTAATATGTGGGTTCATTATTTTTTGGTTTTTTATCTAGTGTTTGGTACTCATATTGGAGCCTGACTATATCCAGATTTCTGCTGGGAAGTCCTACATTTGGGATAAAAGCAATTCCGTACCAAGGAAGCTCAAATTTGAGATCTCTTGATTAAAAACAAAGGAGTACTTACTATTCCACCATAACTCTGTTGGTTTGTGATTGTTAATAGGCTTGTTATCTATGAGTAGTGGCAAACGTAGAGTTGACTTGTTATTAAAAATATTCCCTCCGTCTCATTTTATGTAACACTTTTCGCATTTCGAGACTCAAATAAGTGTATCTTTGATCATATTTTTTTCATATATCTTTTTAACATTTTGAATTGTCAATTATTGTAATTTATAGTATTGTTTACGTAGTTTACAAATATATAAATTTCATTTAAAAAAATTTGAGATTCATACGCAAATGTTCGATCAAAATAAGTTATTTGACTTTTAAGAAACAAAAAGTGTCACATGAAATTAGACGGAGGAAGTAATAAATTATTGATGTGAGATATTAAAAGTAGTAAAATAGTTTTTTGAACAATTTGGCACGTGAAGCTAAATTTGAAGAATTGGGTGGGTCATCCTAAAAATATTCAAAACTTGGAGGACTTACAAAGTAAGCTGGAAGGAGGTCCTGGACACGTGTTAAAAGGAGAATGGAAGTACGGAATCGTGTCAAAAGCTACTGCTGACGTGGCTGTTAACTAAAATGCTGGAAACCCTTCAATGCAATTCGTCATGTGAACTGACATCTCTACTGGCGGTGCCAATTATTGCTTTTTTTTTTCTTTTTCCTTAATAAAATTATATGCTATATTTTTTAAAACAAATTAAAAAAAAAAAAATTAAGTAATAGCATCGGTATATACCAAACTAGGGAAACAAATACTTTTTCTTGTTTAAATTTTATAATTTAATTGGAGAAAAAAAGGGTGTGAAAAGTAATACAAACATATCAATTTATTTTGCAAAAGAGATGGACAGAAGACTTTTTCATATAAAGTTTCACACGTTTAATTGGAGAAAAAAAAGGATTAAAATAATTTGAATATGAGCCTCTATAATTGCCTTAAAAAATGCATATATTTTGAGTTTAGATAAATCATATGAAGTTAAGAATAAAAACATAAATCAGTGTAATATCAAGTAAAAACAGCAACGAAATCATTATTGTTTTCTTCTTGAGAATTATACTGATTTAAGAAATTTAAAAAGAGTATATTGAAGAGTTACAAAACAAAAAATTCAAAGTTAAAACGACTCTCTTATCTCAAATGTTTTAGTGATATTAATCTTCATTTTAATTTCCTATATAACATACTACTTGCTAACAAAAAGAATGAATAGGTCCTTTCTAATTTATTCGCTCATCTAATTTTACTTATTCATTATATTACAAATAAATATTTATCCTTACTTGTTTAAACATTGAGAAATTATTCATCATCCAGATTCTAAAATTAAGAAATAAAATTCATCTCTCCAAAGTCATTTGATTAATATGATTCACATTAATTATTATTTCTTAAATACGAGATCATATATATATATACACCATTAAATTTTTAGAAAAGGCTTATTTTTGTTATCAATTAAAAGTTTGGTCATTTATATCATTACTGTTAAAGAAAAAGTTCATTTATGCCATTATTTTTTAACGGTAAATTTGCAAAATCATTTTTGACACGTGACAAATTATAATTTGACCACGTCATTAATTTTTTTAATAAAAAAATAATTTAATTTTTATTCACAATTTTGGTTTTTTTATTTAAAAAATTGATGACATGGCCAATTATAATTCGGTCACGTCATTAATTTATTTAATTAAAAAAATAATCAATTTTTTTTAGAATTATAATTTTTTAATTAAAAAAATGATGACGTGGCCGAATTATAATTGGTCACGTGTTAAAAATAATTTTACAAAATTATTATTAAAAAAAAAAATTTCTTTAAAAGTAATAGCATAAATGAACCTAATGACATAAATGAAGTTTTTTTGAAAGTTCGATCGCGTATATATTATATATATATATATATATATATATATATATAGTGAAGAAAAAAAAGAGCTATACACGTGGATGAAAATTAGGGAAGTGCTTGGTAAACCATAAGGCTTTACTTTATTTTTGTCTTCTACAGTTTGCTCCTTTTTATTGGCGGCCATCTTTGAAGGCCTGAAGCAGAAACTTCTCTTCCCCAACTGACGACGACGACAACAACAGACCCTTTTCCATTATAACTCCTCTTCTGCCATCAATATACACCTGGGGTTTATCTACAGATACAAAAGATGTGTGCTTTTTTCCTCAGAAATGGTTCTAAAACCCACCATTCATTGCAACATCTATGGAAAAGAAGTCCCTCCGTTGAATCTTGGAATATCAAGAACCATATTGTTCATCACCAACTTCAACATTCTAAAGTTTATTCACGATTACCTCATTCTTTTTACAGGAAAACTAAGGAATTAGAGTTGTCAAATCCCAGTTTTCTTGCTTTCTTTTCAGGGGTTTCGTCTTCTGCTTCAAAATTTGGGTTAGTGGGTTGGTACTTAGAGAAACTCAACTCTCGACCCATTATCACCAAGAGCATCACTTGCGGCCTTATTCTTACTGCTGCTGATTTTTCCTCGCAGGTACTTTTTCTTCAGATTCTTGAAAGTTACTTAGTTGAAAAATTCATTGTTAGGTTAAATAATCATGCCTGCTCTATATTGCCTTGTGTGCTTTGAAGAGTATAGAAATGCACTCTGTTCTTTAATTTGGGCTGTTGAAGGGGTTTCAATTGCAGAGAGTGTATTCTTTACTTTTAAACTTCTTAATCAAACAAGACAAACAGTCTTCTGCTTTTCAACTGTTAATGCACTTCTTTGATTCAGGAGAGTAGTTTGATATTCATTCCTTCTTCCACAGATAATCATGGACAAGTTCAACCACATTCAGTCATTTAACCAATAAGTTCCACAGTTATCTTCTCATAGTTGCCATATCTGACTCTGGTCTTTCTTTCCATGAGTACTTTCTGGGTTGAAAAAATGAATTACAGTTGGGAGTTGCACCAATTTCTTTCACATCATGACCATTATTGGTAATTCAGATTGTTTGCATCTAAAGACTTGGGATGGTTGATGTTGTCTTAGACTACACTAGACTGGATTCCACCAAATAACAATGAAGTGAAAAGGATTGTTAATTCTTAAAAACTAGTGCAAATTTACAAAGAGTGCTGCTTTGTGATTTGATAAATTGCAAGTTGAGATTTTGTATGAATAGTTCTAATACTAAAAGAGAAGATGTGGTGGAGAGAACTTTAATAGCAGAACAAACTTAAGAAAAACGATCAACATAAGATGAAGATAGAGGGTTAATGTAATCTTATTTTAATCAATGATGGTTTGATAATAGCAAAGCTCAAGTTAAAATTGTCCTCTTCAAGTTGGATTAAGTGATTAACTATTTTTGTTACGATTCTGATCTTAAATGTCCCTTTTTGATTGGTTCTTAGTTAGTACTCGTACACGAAAATCTTGTTCGGTAACACTTTAGAATGTCAAAGTTTGTTAGTTCTCTTACATTTTTCTCAACATATAATTATATAATTTGCATTTCTCCCGTCTTATTTATCATTCCCTCTTTTAGTGTAGCTTTTGATACTGGTTCACCTGTGGAATATATTATGGCCTGTTTTTAATCCTTTCCCCCTTCTCTGCTCTGCAGATGATTGCTGGGTCATTGTTGGAGCAGTATGATCTCACACGAACATTGAGGATGGCTGGTTATGGAGCGCTAATTGTTGGACCTTCACTGCATTTCTGGTTCAATTTCCTGTCGAGGTGCTTTCCAAAACGTGATGTCATTACAACATTTAAAAAAATAGCTTTGGGACAAACAGTTTATGGCCCTGCAATTAACTCTGTTTTCTTCTCCATGAATGCTGTAGCACAAGGTAAAGCTGAGTCCTGTTTTAGAAGTTCTGTGTTGCTTCTTAAATTTACTAATAGGCTGTACTCTTACTGTTATTCACAAAATAAAATATTTATGGAGGAATCTAAACCTCTGGTAATTATCATCTTCGAGATAGAACCTGTTCTTTTTGTACATGTGTCCCTGAGGCCTGAGAGGAGGGCATAGGGTGTGACATGAGAGGGAGAAGGGAGGTGGAGGTGGAAACTAACTCGAACCTCGAGTTTTAGGGATAGTGTTTAAACACTGTCTCTCTTTTCCCCCCATTTTCAACAAAAACTAGAAAAAGAAATTTAAGATTAGAAAAGGAACATCTAAAAGTTGGACACAAAATAAGAATCTGAGTCTGTTCATTTGCAAAGCTGCATTAGGAAGTGCATTAGCTCCTTTCCCCTTTTTATTCTTTTTGTTTTTTCTTAGTCCTTAATAGCTTTCTACCATGCTTGCTGAGTTTGAATTTGATTGTGTTGCGAACTTTTTATTTTACGGAATGAACTTGCAACAGATTTTAAGATCTATTCAAACTCTTGAGAATTCTTATTTTCTGAATTACAGTAGGCATTATCTTAGGATGCTTGTATCACTAATCCTTGTATTGGTTGCTACCTTAGGTGAAAGTAGTTCAGAGATTGTTGCCCGACTCAAGCGCGACTTGGTTCCCACCATTGTCAGCGGTCTTATGTACTGGCCAATATGTGATTTCATTACATTCAAGTTTGTTCCTGTTCATTTACAGGTATGCTCAAGGTCTCATCAATTTCTAAGGTTACTTTACACAATTTAGGATGTCTTTTCTGCTCCTCAAAGACTAATCCAGGATATAAATTCGATGGATTCAAACTTTGTGTTATAGTGCTCTTCTGCAATTGTGCATTCAGATTTAATATTTGTTACTCCTATTTTAGTAATTTTTCGAATATACATATATGCTCTGAGTAAAAAAATGTTGGTTCAGTTGAACCAATTGATTATACATTCCATTCCATTCATCTACCTCTGGGTCCTGTATCCTCTGTCTTTGCCGAAGGCAAAACTATGGTTCAGATCCCTCAACTCCCAATATATACATGTATTTGAGAAAGTGACTAATTAGGTGTTTATTACTACATCGACAGCCTCTTGTGAGCAATACATTTTCATATGTATGGAATGTATACCTGACTTATGTGGCAAGCCAACAGAAAGTCTCAATGGCATGATCTATGACAGCCTCTTGTGAGCAATACATTTTCATATGTATGGAATGTATACCTGACTTATGTGGCAAGCCAACAGAAAGTCTCAATGGCATGATCTATACCAAGCACGTATAATGTCTTCTCTGCTAACAATTCATATATTCTTCTTGCTAACAATCTGGCTGGAGGCATGACTTTGGAGTCATTTTCATCGCTGTAACATGTTAGTGTGGTGGAGCAGAACTTCTGCAGAATCACAGAGACCATTGAATGTGTTAACTGAGAGTTGCTCGGACCATCACTGTTCTTTTTGTATATCCTAGTTCTAGTTACAGAAATCGCGTATTACACTGTCAGCTTACATAAAAGAGCAATATCCTACTATTTAGGGCAGACGGTTCTAATTTTGAAGGTTTTGCAATTGTATCCTCCTTCTCAACTCATTAAACTCGGTTTATTCTTAACGTTGAAGTGAGTGAAGTTTTCATTCTCTCTTCTGTTTATTGTTTTAAAAAATTGTCAAATCTTTAACTACTTTGTGCTATTCCTCTTTGTTCTTATGTTGTTAATTTTAAATAAATTGTATTCATTTTATGTCACCAAGAGGATGCCTACCACTCTGTGCTGACAAAGTCTTTATTTGGACTTTGCTCTCATATTAGTGGGTAACCATGAAGCCATTACATCAAATGTCAACAAGAAAGATGTCATATTGCTGTATAAAAACCAGAGCTCCTAAAAAAATATGCAAGACAAGTTTTTAGTTCTCTCTATCTCTTCTCTAAGCATAGCTTTGGTTTGCATATCAAAATGATAAGCTTAGGGAAGCTGGGGCAATTGCCCCTACTTGCAGCTGCTTTGGCAATTTGCTTAGCAGCCAGCACTGTTTTTGCTGATTACTCCTATGGTTATACTTCTCCCACACCTTACAGCTCTAACAAGTACTACAAATCACCATCTCCATCTAAGTATCATGTGCCTACTCCTTACTACAAGAAACCTGTTGAATATTCTCCATCACACAAATACTACAAAGCACCTGTACCTTCCAAGCACAATTACTACAAGTCTCCATCGCCAATAAAATATTACAAATCGCCTACTCCTTCAGAGCATTACAACAAGTCGCCAATTGCAAAGAAGTATTATAAGTCACATACTCCTTCGAAGCATTACTACAAGTACCCAGTTCCATCAAAGCATTACTACAAGTCGCCATCGCCAGTAAAGTACTACTACAAGTCACCATCACCGATTAAGCACTACTACAAGTCTCCAACTCCTTCAAAGTACTACAAGTCACCAAGTCCTTCAAAGTACTACTATAAGTCGCCAACTCTAGTAAAGTACTACAAGTCACCAACTCCTTCAAAGCATTACTACAAGTCACCAGCACCTGTAAAGAACTATTACAAGTCTCCAACTCCCGCAAAGCACTACTACAAGTCCCCAACTCCTAAATATTACAGCACACCGTCACCAACGAAATATTACAAGTCACCAGTTTACTACAAATCTCCACCACCACCAGCTTATTATGAAAAATCACCTTCATACTACAAATCACCCCCACCTCTACCACCAAAATATTACGAGGAATCACCAATTAATTACAAGTCTCCACCTCCACCCTACTATGAATCTCCACCACCTCCACCAAAGACCTATGAACAACCACCATCATACTACTCACCTCCACCACCTACGAAGTACGAGCCATCAACCACCTATGCTTCACCTCCACCCCCATCACCATCTCCTACACCAACCTACAACTAATATTCAAATCCTTCACTTCAATATTTTTCCGCCATTTCTCTGACTTTTTGACTCATCTTCACCCTCCTATTCTGAGCATTTCTATTTTCTCTGTCAAAATTTGTTTGTGCGCTTTCCAAAATGATGGAGGTTGCTTGTTGTTTGTTCTTTTGTTATAATAATTTGTAACATGTATTTATTCGAGATCTCAATCAATTTATCTCATGAATCAAAAGATTCTTTTTGGTATATTCATCTGAGAATTGTATTAATGCTTTACTACCATCTTCTTCTTTCTCTACTATTGTATCTGCTTTATCAGCTGAACTGCTTGACTTATACCACTCGTATGAGCCATTGATAGTAACAAACCAAGTTATGTAATATCATCCCTCGTGATGATCAGAGTTCTCCCAGTATTCATTTGAAATCAAAGAAACAAAGACGTCTATTGTAATTATTGAGTCAGCTAAAACCTGTAGCTCAAGGAAACAATGATACAAGCTCAGCAATGCTGTTACGACATTCAATTTACATCAATTATAAACAAATGGGGTTACAAACACTTCCAATCATTCTGTGACCCCAATCAGTACTGTTCATGGATACAGTTGCATCAGCACATCCACATAGTTGTGTAGTTTGTCCTTCGGGAATATTATCATATCAGTCAGCTCAGTTCAGTCGGTATGTGCATTGGGCAATTCAAACAACGATGGTTGATGTTCCTCGAGTTGCTGGGACAAAGGTTAACATCTGTCGCATTAACATGAGGTAAAACATCTTATCTGCAGATTCAACTGAGCCATATCATTACATTTTCAGCCGAGCCTCCACGCTCACTGCTAATACATAATGCTCCTCCTTGTTAGTTTTTACCTCTCTAGTCCTACACACACATAAGATGAGCTATTAGACGGTGCTCAAAACATAGACGATGAAATTCATCTTCAGATGTGGAACTATAAGTGACAGAACTGGAAAAGCATGTCTGATATTAAATGTGCACGTTGTAAAGTTCGCGTGCAGAATTCTGAACCTACAGCAAGGCTGTTAGGATTTGTGTACAATTAACATTGAGAGCATGTTATCGTAGAGAAGTGCTACCTACTATGGTCGAAGACATAGGCAAATACTATATGTAAATATTTGAGAAACAAAATAATAATGAAAAAAATGGTGCAAACTTAACAACACACCTAGTGTAATCCCACAAGGTTGGGTTTTGGGAAGGGTAGAAGGTATGCGAACGCTACCCCTACCTCGCGGAGGTAGAGAGGCTATTTCCGAAGGACTCTCCTCAAGTAATGCATAGCAAAGTAGCTTTAAAAGACAAAATACTGAAAGAAAGCAGGCATGAGTCATGACAACTAAAAAGAGAAATCGTGCAAAATTACATAATTAACAACACTGAAAAAGAACAATCAAGGACACTATACTGTTGGATGATGTCAAGGGCCACTGTGTTATTGATTCTGCCTGCTCATTTAGAAAAGTAAATATTAGATCATTGAAATTATTCAGTACCACCAAAATGATAGCATTTGCTAAAATTGATCTTTCTAAAAAAATACTAATCACACTGATTCTGGTTATAAAGCTTACTATATATGAAGTACTGAAAATCAAGTATCTAAATTGAACACAAACAGACCTCTATGTATATCTTCATTCTATCCAACCTTGTTGCTGTGTTCTGCTTCTTTTCTAGCAAGTAATTAAATGTCAATCGCTTCAATGATGCAAAATTTCACAATATTCAGCTTCCCTACATAATCACTGAAGAATAGTAATATATTTTATTTTGGTCCCTTTCAAACATTGTATAACAAAATGTACTATATACAAATATTGTGTATGAAAAATATTGGTTGATTAAAATTCAAATGAATCAGTAACTAAAATCAATCCAAATTATTCAAATGTTCTTTGCCCTATCTCATGTGTTACTTGGTAAGGAGAAATAGCTGAGACAATGAGATCTCCATATTTCAAGAATATATATTTTAAAGATTGAGAAAAATTAGAATGCAAACTGCATATTGTATAGAGAAGGGATGCAAGCGCAAGTCAGAAAAAAAGAAATCATTAACATACAGAAAAAGCCTTTACCTGCACTAACAAGCAAATAACCAATTTTTTAACAATGCACAGTATGCTGGAGAGTGAAGACTGCCAATGGCAACCAACTTTCAAACAGAGATGTTACACTTTGCAGCCAAAGCTGGAAGCACATATCAACTGAGGGCTTGAAGGTGCCAATCAAGGTTGGGATTGGACAAACTTCAGATCAGCCTTAATAATTTAATGACAAGAAGAGCATGCCTCAACCTCAAACATTTAAAGGGTTTTCTCATTTCGATGAACTAGAAAAAAAGCAGGGCAAAGAGATATAAGCCCATACAACATGCAGAAGTTTACAAACAGGCACAGAAACAAGGAAGAGTAACAATTTATGCTATACTAGAGACAAAAGAGTGCCAAAAGCAACCAACTGCTGAACAGTAATTTTACCTTTTGGTGCAAGTACTGGAATTATAAATTATTTGAACGCTTGAAGCAACCAATCAGGCATCTAATTTGACAAAGTCAGTTCAGACTCAGCAATTTAAGGGCATGAAGTGCATACCTCAGCCTAAAACTTTTAAAGAGCACTGTCATATGGATAGACTAAAAAGAAAGGATGATAAAGTGATCAGAATAAACCCGCCAACATGCAGAATTGCACTAACAAGGAAGAAACAAAGGAAGAGTAACAATGTTTAATATGCTAGAGACCGAAGACGCTAAAAGCAGCCAGCCTTTGGTCCATGATGTAACCTTTTGCTGCCAATGCTGGAAGCATATGCATAACTTGAAGGACTGAAACCACCCATTAGGCATTGGGCAGCCTCAACCTCAAACATTTAAAAGACATTATCATTTGAATAGACTGGAAAGGATGGATAAAAAGCAAAGAGAAAAATGCCCACCAACACGTAGAAGTGCACTAACAAGAATACAACCAAAAGAAAAATATGTAAGATATGCTATAGACAGAAGATTGCCCAAAGCAACCAATCTTTGAACCAGGATGCTACATTTTGCAGCCAATAATGAAAGCATATGTCACCTGAAGCTTGAAGCTACCAGGAAGTGCATATCTCACTATATTCTTCTCTACAGTAGGAATGCACTTGACACTTCAACCCAGGAAGAAAAGTTAAAATGTCCATTTCACTTGACATAGGAAATATAATTGTTGCCTCTATGTTGCAGAAGTGGATCACTGAAGAGACAGGAAATTGGAAATTTTTGGGAGCTGAAATCACTCAGTAATGGTTAGAAATTGATTCACTTGCTAACTTCTCAGTTTTACAATAGTACACAGCTGCATTGAACTAAATGATTTATTTCATGAAAATATTTCATAGAAACCTCATGTTATTTCATAGAAACTTCATCTGTAAAATGAAAAATGACATACGAGCAAATGCTTGTAAACAATATCTATGCATAATCTATGTAACCCTGACCCTCCCAAGGGACAAATTCTCCTAGAATACAAATCTCACAACACACATCCGACAGCTTCCCACAATATTCACATGTTGTTCCTTTGGCAATTCTCATAGATACTTCATTCCGTCAGAAATCATGTCAAGAACCATCATTCTAATCAGACACAAAAGCCTGAATTTTCCACTTATCCATCTGGTAACAAGATTGATGAAAATGAGTTGTTTATTCAGAAGCAGCACAGACCTTCTCAAGTAGCATGGACCAATCTCCCCCAAGTATATGAGGATTAGTCTCCACTGCCACTCGGAAATCCAACATCCTACCAAATGAGGATCTTGTTTGTCTTTTTGTATAATTTCCAGGATATTGTCCATACCATCCAGGCAGTGTTTGACCATTACAATATCTGACACGTTCATTTGTATGTCGGGATCCAGCCAGTCCTATGCAAGGTTCAATCAGCCTTTTCAAAAATGCATCTAAGCTATTATTTAGCAGGTTAGCACAGTCCAATGTTATGCCAAGCCCTTCCGACTCTAACTTCCGCTCCAAACGACTTCTTAACGATCTACTCTCAGGCAATTCTCTACAGCTTTGAAAAGTCTCGAGACGAAAGTTGTACACAGATCCACTATGGAGAGTTTTTCGAGCACCACCTACATTCACAGAAATTCCAAGAGGAGCAGTGACGAGGCTTCTGCTTTGAATTCCTGGACTTCCAACAAATTGTTCAACTTCTTCCCCATCTTCTACTGATGCAACTTCAACTGGAGGTCTGCTACCAAGAGAATGCAATTCTGTGGCACTTTGCTGTTCTTGTACCCTAGGCGCTGCTTCTTCACACGTAACAGGACTTTTCCCAAGTGGTCCAAGAGGACTTGTACGGTCCCGCAACCTTCTGTCCCTACTAACTGGAGACCTGGTTTTGCGAGGTGATGAGGGAAATGCATCACCATAGAGCGATTGTAGACAACTTCTTTGGCAACCGTTCCCAACTTTAATGCTGAGAGATTCTTCAGCTTTTTTAGGCCTTGGTGGTGGAACCTTACCCAAAGAAGCATTTTTCACTATGGATAGAAGGAGACGATTATGTAGGTGAATATTCTCTCTCCCAATAGTTCGAATGCACGACTTATCGAAGTCAACCTTGCTCAACTTTGAACTGAAAAATCTACTAAGCTCATCAAAGTACTTTTCAGCTCTCTGCTGCCCAATCTTCCTATAGATTACATCCCTCAGCTCCAACGTATCCACTCGAGTATAATGGTGGTTGGTCACCATTTTCAATTGAACTTCCTAAACAATCAAAATAACCACACTTCCGTGAATTCCAGCAAAGAACATAAAACAAAAAATAACATCATTTACTCCCAACACCCAAATAAGCCCTAATTCCATATACATTCTCCTAGATCGCATTGTTACAATTCAACTATCCAACAATTAGATCAAATAAAAGCAATTAAACCTCAATTAACAGAATTCAAGAATTAACAAGAACCCCAATTTAGCAATAAAGTCAGCAATTCCTCCTTTACTAGCTCCAAATTAAATATATCAAAAACCCCAATTTAGCAATTTCAAAGTAGAATTAACCTCATGAAGATTAAAAATAAACCCCCAAATTGAGATTAAGCGATCGAAGGACAAAGAGACGAAAATCTAAGTAAGATTAAAAGATAATTAAGAAACCCTATTGATGATTAAACCCCTAATTAACGAAATTAAAGTAAACAGAAACACTAGTAATAGAAATTGACCTGTGTTGGGACGAAGACGACGTTGTAGGTGTTCACTCAAAGCTGTCTTTTTAGTATTTGTTTTATTTTATTTGAGGAATGGCTTTTGCGATCTGTCTGTCTTTTGTAAACTATTTCTTTTTTTTTTTTTTGGTTTTTTTGTAATGAATATAAGCCAAACAGGAATAATTATTTTCTCAGTTATAAGCCCTAATGTCACACGTGTGATTTTAATAATGGGCAAGTTTTGTTAGGCTGTGTTTGGCTGATGTTGTATGAGGATTCCGTCAACAAATGGCGGCAACCGGAAAGTTTAGGCGCCGTATAAAATAAAAATGGTTTTTTTACGTATATTTGGACAAGTTTTTATAGTATTTGACAATATCACCAAGATAAATAGTTTTATTTTTTACTTACAAGAATTCCTTTGGTTTTTAGTAAATACAATCTAAAAACAAATCAACTTTTGATATCATGTTCAAATAATAAATCGGATAAAACTTGTAGATAATGCATCGAGTTACTAGATATAGTATATCTTAATTAGTTTGAAATTTGTATGTGCTTTTCATTATATAATGATTAAAAATGATTAAAACATTTTCAAATCTAGTTTTTGAATATTTTTGTTGTGATGTTTATAAATCTTATATTATCTCTGGACTTAACGAGTTGACTACGAAATACTTCATCAAAAATATTTTTCTGATAAAGATCATTAGATGACGAGTTAAAGATATTTCTTTTGGTCAAAGCTAATGTTCTTCACAAAATAAGAAAATACACATTTAACAATGATTTGACATGATATTCTGAGTACACATTTTAGTGGGTCTCTTCTATTTTCCTCAAGTTAAGAGCATATTTGTCTTAAGTATTGTTTTATGAAGCTGTGACTTATTTTAAAGGATAAATCATATAAATATGTTATATAATAAAAATATTTTTATCTATGTTAACATAATTTTTCTAGCTAAATATAATATTTTTTTTTAAAATAAAAAGATTATACCGTCTTGTCTCTTTCTCAGCCTTTTTTCCTCTTCTCTTCTTCACCTTTTTCTCAACTCTTTTTCCTCTTCTTCTTTCACTATTTTGCTTTTTCTTTTCTTTCTTTTTATTCTTCTGCTTCTTATTTCTTTCTTTTTTTTTACTAATCTATTTTTTTATAACTTTCTCTAACTTTATTTAGTTTCCACTTTTTTTTCTTCTACTTTGAATTTTTCATCTAAATAACCATCTTCAAATCAAGTTTTGCTCCTATGTCGTTATTTTTATTCAAAAATAAGATGAAAAGGGAAATAGAAAGATCAAAAATTTGTACAAAATCACGTTTTTTAGCAGAAATTTCAAATCTTTAGAATTACTGAAGCAAGAGTTCATGTCACAACCCAAACCGGGTTGCGACTGACACCCACACTTACCCTCCTATGTGAGCGAACCAACCAATCTAACCTTAACATTTCAATGTAATAACAACAGAAAGTAATGCGGAAGACTTAACTCTTTAATAAAAACCAATTCAATAACTATCAATATTAAACATCTATTATTCCCAAAACCTGGAAGTCATCATCACAAAAACATCTATAATCAAATTACTAAACTAAGAGTATTCTAAGAAGCTAAAAATACATAAGAAGCTAGTCCATGCCGGAAGTTCAAGGCATCGAGACTTGAAGAAGAAGATCCAGTCCAAGATAGAAGCATTAGCTCACCCTGAATTTCCGATGTAGTAAGACTGGCTTGAATTACTGTTGAGTCGAAGAGGACGGCACGATTGCTGCACTCCACAAATAACAAGAAGAAAAACATAAAAGTAGGGGTCAGTACAAAACACGGGTACCTTGAGTAGATATCATTGGCCAACTCAATATAGAAAACAATATGTATTAAGCAATATCATAAAATCAACTAATATCCTTAGCATGCAGCATTTATAGTTACCATAACCCTTGGTTACAACACCAAGCACATCAATGAGGACTCACGCCTCCTCATCATACTCATTTGGGAATTCAGTTCATTAGATTGGATACATTAACATTTTTCAAGATTCATTATCTTTATTCCCCTCGTGTCGGTACGTGACACTCCGCTCCTCATTCTATCCTGGCACCGGAACGTGGCACCCGATCCATATTCTATCCTGGTGTCGGAACGTGACACCCGATCCATATATTCTATCCTGGTACCGGAACGTGGCACCCGATCCATATTCTATCCTGGTGTCAGAACGTGACACCCGATCCATATTCTATCCTGGTATCGGAATGTGGCACCCGATCCATATTCTATCCTGGTGTCGGAACGTGACACCCGATCCATATTCTATCCTGGTGTCGGAACGTGACACCCGATCCATATATTCTATCCTGGTACCGGAACGTGGCACCCGATCCCCTAATCTCACCACTTTCGTTCATCAAGCCTTCTTTTATACCAAGGCATCATCATTAACAAAATAGATTAGGGTTTCTTTCAAGATTTTGGGATTCAATAGCTTCATCATGCTTATTTATTCACAATTACATAATCACATCATTCATGCAAGCATACAATTAAGCATATAGAAGGTTTACAATACTACTAACACATATCATTCGCTATTAAGATTTTACTACGAATAGCATGAAATAACCATAACCTACCTCCACCGAAGAATTGAAATCAAGCAAGTTAATCCTCAAAGCTTGGTGTTTTCCTCTTCTTCTCGATCGCTTCTCTCTACTCGTTCTCTTTCTTTTTCTGTCTCTCTCCGTTCTTTCTATTTTTCTTATTCAAACCTTCTTTCTTTTACCCTAATTAGTATATAATTAAGAATAAAAGATGGCAATAATACCCCACTAATTAACTTAGGGTTACCTCTTTTAACCCCCAAGAATTTGAGTTATTAATATAAACCCACGAAATCTATAATTAAGGAAAGAATAGTCTAAAAACGTCCCTTAAAACTTCACCAGAAATCCGACTCTGCCTGGGATTTGCGCAACCTGTGACGGGCCGTCGTGCCTGCGACGGTCCGTCCTGCAGGTCGTCGCAGAGTTCAGAGAGTTGATTTTCAGTACCCAATTTCAGATTTTCTAAGTGTTTTGGGACGAGACACCCTCGACGGTCCGTCGTGCCCATGACGTTCCGTCGTGGGGTCCATCGTTTCTGCCAGTTTTTCCAGAATTGAAGTCTGTTGCTCAAAACGACTAAACGGGTCGTTACAGTTCATCATTGATGGTCATTATAAAGCTTCAAATTTTAAATTCATTATTTGAATTTTACGAATTTGTGATTAGTTTGGATAGTTAATTCCTACAAATAATTGATAATGTCGTTTGGAGTTGATATGTCAATTTTAAGAGGGTTAGGTTAAATTTATAATTGTTTATAGGAGAAATATTAGTTTATAATTTGAAAAAAGTGAAGCTTATGGAATTTTAAGATTTTTTTCTTACTTCAAAATAAAAAGGTTCAAACTTTTATATAAAAAAATTATCTACTTTTCACAAAATAATAATAATAGAATTTTGAATTAAATAATAAATTAAGTTTTTACGACAAACATCTAAGGTAAGGTAATTTGAACACATCATTATATCATCTAACTTACTATGATTATTCATTGATTTTATATTACTACATGAGGTTGAGTAAAGGCAAAAACAACTCTAAAATATTTATTTTTGTGTGTTTATTTATGTAGATTTGAGACATCTTATTAAGATTTTGTCTTACGCTACTAATTTTATTGAGATACTCGTACGACTTAGAAATATAAAAATTAGTGTACAACTTATTGAATAGCTTGTGAATGTTGTTTCTTATTACTTGCCCTTTGTTTGAAATGATACATAACTTTTCTGGTTTCATTCTTATAATTATTATCTTTTGTTAATTACTTTTATTTTATAAGTTTAAGTTCTTTGTTTATTAGATTTCTATTTTAAGTCTCTAGTGCATATGCATCTATTTTTGTTACATTTTATTTATTATTCAAAATATAGCGATCATTTTTTGTTAGTGACTTTCGATCTTTTCAATACATAATTTGGTGATATAGATAGAATAATTGAAACAATGCATCTAAAATAAAATAAATAAAACTTCACGTTATACATATTGTTCGCAAAACTTGCTCTTATGTGACACTGATGACATTTTAATGATTTTACATTGAGATGACATTTGCTTAAGACTGGTCAACGGATCGAAATCGATTCATTGGATCGAAACAAACCGAAATAGGACGCGTTGATCGGTATGATGGTCGGTACCGGAATGAACCGGACCAGAATTATCGGGACAAATAATCGGTTCCGTCTTGTTCGACTATATACCGGGATGGAATCGGAACAGAATGAAATAGAACGAAATTATGAATATTTTTTTTATTTTTCTAAGTTTAAATTAATAATTTTTAAATTTATACTATAATTTTTTACTTAAGTTTATTTTAAAGATATTTTTTAAAAAATTTTTTGTTATTAAGTTTGCAAGTAAAGTCTAATAAAGTTTTCAAAATTTAAATCTTTTGAAGTTTATACTTTATAAGTTATTACTTATTATTCATTAATATTTATTTTATAAGTTATATTTATAACTTGTGTTTTGTAAATTATAAATAAATAAAATTTGTAATTTTAAAAAATTTAAAATAAAATAAGGATAAAACAATTACAAAAATTAAAAAATATCAATTTAATTTATTTAAATTTGTAACAAATTACAATAGCAACTCTACAATCCATTAGTTCAAAATAGGCACGTAAATATTGACAACGTTTTTCTTGAAATTCAAAATATCTCTTTTTACCATGCTTCTTCATAAACCTTTATAACTAGGATTATATGTTTCAGGAATATATGCAATAAAATCCGGATGTTTTCCAAAACTAAAAGGTAAACCACAAACAACAACCATTTTAGCAAAGTTTTCACGATCACGATCCTTGTTATAGGTTCGATGTGTAAGAGGACCACTTGGGTTCGAAGTATTTAATTCACTTTGAACCATATTTGATCCTCTAGCCGATGCTTCAACACTACAATTTTCACCAATTTCAAGAGACGACATATATGCAAACCACTCTTTACTATGCTTGTTAATCAAATGTTTTTTTTAGTCCCTTGTTGAACCTCCAGTCCCACCAGATGTATATTTTAAATGTTACATATACTAAAAGCTTT